GGAGGGGGTAGAGGGGGCGGGCGGGAAGTGCCCTCTCCCCCCACAGTCACCTCGCTACACTGATGGGCCGAACTGTCCGGCCCGGAGGCCCAGCGCTCGCGGCGATGACCCCGCGGAACGCGGCGCGAGGAGCGAACTCTAAACGTCGCAGCTCACCCCTAAAGCTGGGTTCCAGGGCTGCCTCGATTCGCGCGGGGCGTGGCCGCAGGGTTAGTGGATTAAGGAATCTTTTCAATGCCATCTGCTTACTTACAACTTTTAAATTAACTTGGAATATTCTGAATGTCTGCGCAAATGTGTGGACTTAATTATTTTGAAGGCGGCCGTTTTAACTTGAAAAACCGACCACACCGGGAGAAGAAGCCTAACCCAGAAGGCTTTTCCTAAAATCGGTGTCCAGGGAGTAAACCCCGCTTCTTGCCCTGCCTCTCGGAGTTCTGTCCGCGGGCCCCAGTCTGCTGCTCGCTAGAGGAGCTCTGCTCGGCTCCGTCTATGCCATCAGACACTGGATTGAAGAAGAGTATAAATAATAATTAGCCAGCGTTTCAGTTCAGAAACAAGTAGTTAAAACAAATCCTCAAAGCTGGAAAATAGGAAACAGGGGAGACATTCTGAAGGCAAGGATGGATGGTTGAATCCAAGGGTCAACATCGGTCATGGGTTGGAGAAGGAGATTCTGCCTGAGTCTGAGCTAGCAGTTAGTAAATTTCAGGGATTGATACACAGCCCGGGTGCCGGCCTAACCGGTAACCCAAGGCCTAGGCAGATTTGCTTGAAGGCTCCCAAGTTGATTGTAGTTCCTTTCACGTGGCAAAATGAGACACCATCAGCCCCAACAGGCAGGATCGTGGTGGCATGGAGCCCACAGTGGTGGCGATGCGGAGGTGACCTGCCATCCGCCAAGTTTGCCACGTCGTTCGTGCGGTGCGTGCTTAGTCACCGCTTTCTTCACTGCTGCCCTTCAACCTCAGAGTTTGTTTTAGTCGGGGATGCATACTCTTCTGGGTTTACTTTTCCAGTTCATCCCTCAGCTTACTCTTGAATCTGGCCTCCCTAATTTAGCAGGTACTTATGAGGATCCCACGGGAGGGGCTTAGCAGGACTTCTGGTGAAACGCCCTTACCTTCTGTTGCAGGGGGTGATAGTGTTTGAAAAACAGAGACAGGTGGTTCAAGAGAACCTCATACTTGCCAAGATGGTACATTTAGGCTTTCAACATTGATTTAAACTGTGACCAGTCGGTCAGCCCTGTCTGGCTCTTTGCAACCCCATGGACTGTAACCCTCCAGGATCCTCTGTCCATGGGATTTCCCAGGCAGGAATACTAGAGTCGGTAGCCATTTCCTTCTCCAGGGAATCGTCCTCATCCAGGCAGATTCTTTATCATCTGAGCCACCAGGGAAGCCCAAAATTAAGTATATACATTCTTTAATAAGTTTTTCTTTTTGATTTGGCTTAGGCTTCGTAGATTGTCACAAATTTGAATGACCTCAGTTTGGGATTTAAGTTAGCCAAATATGGTGTAACTATTTTTTTTTTTAATATATAGAAATATTCCTTAGACTTTCCACCTAGACTCTTCTTTCCATGTTTGGCTATAAAAACTAAACTGACACTTTAATGCTGTGGCCACATTAAAACAAAAGTGCAGTGTTTGTGTAATTTACTAAGGTTGGCAGCTAACACTTACTGAATATTTTCCCTATGTGCTAGGACCTGTGTCAGGTTTTACAGGATTAGCAAATTTAATCCTCATCATGATCCTGGGAAGTCTGTACTTTTGCAGATGAGGAAACACAGGCACAGAGAGGTTAAGACACTGGCCCGAGGTCTCACAGCTAGAAAGTGGCAAAGCTGATACACCAACCCAGGCAGTTCTGTTCCAGAGGTCACTCTGTGCCATTCTCCCTTGTTTAAGTGATAAAACGTGACATTGGTCATATATGATGAATTCATAACTGAGTTGCTGAGTTTTGTGTTTTTTTTTAAGGGTTTGAGTTTTCTGTTGTACCTCCAGTGACCTCAATGAGGGTTGCTCACTTTCTCATTCAGCGTAAAAGAAGACCAGTTCCAGAACAGGACAGTAATAGTAAGGGCGTCCAAAGTTGGTTTATAACCAGAGTGAGGGTAATTACATTACCCGAGCAGTTTCCTTTCTCTGCCTGCACCAGACAGTGAGAATCAATGGAGTCATTAAAATGACAAAAATATCCCCAAGCATAAAGACTGAGAAAACATGGCAAGTGTCCCCACTGAGAGTAAATTTATTCTCCTCCATTTGTCCTCTTTTAAGGCTGGCAGACGTGGGAGAACACAGGGTTAAATGAGATGTTCCAGAAACTCCTGGAATGAATTTATTCATTTAAAAAAGTACAGTGGTTCAAATCAAGACTGAAAACATGGACTTCTTAACCAGAAGACCATTACAAAACTTACATTTTGAGTAGAGTGCTTTAGTTTTAGAATCTAAAACCCAGTAACTTCAGAAATCTCTGTCTGGAAAGCTTATACCTGAAAATAGCAACTTTCCCTACATTTTAAATTTAACAAATGCTGAGAAAACTAATTTCTCCCCTCTTTATCTAGTCTGTTTTCAGAAACTTGGTGGCCAAGACTGTTTCTGTCTTCCCTAAGGGAACTTTAAGATAAGACCTGATTGGGGATAATCTTTTTTGAAGTAATTGCATTTTTTCATTCCACGAGTTTAAATCAAATATGCAGCTCACTTCAAGCTGCTGAGTGAAGATCAGAAATCTACATTTATATGCAACAATTTGAAATACAAACCATCTTGTTACAAAGCTGTCAAGATTTATTAGCAAGACAGTGTAGCATGTGTTGGACTCTGTTTTCAATTAGGCACCTAAATTAGACCATAAAATGGTTGATTAATCTTTTACAAGTTGAGGGGAAAATATAACATAAATTAACCTAATCATAAGTGTTTTCCCAGATGCTCTGGGTTAATAAAATAGTCAATATTAAATAGCAACCTATTTG